ATGCAAAACTAAGAGGGAGTCAGAGGTAGTCAGGGGGAGAGTGAAATGGCTGAAGTGAAGAAGTAAGTCAAGCCCCACAAACGATGGCACCCAACCAACCGGCTGCCAGCCAGCCCCTCCACTTACAGTTAACTTTCAGAACTGGGTGGTGGGGGGGCGACGCTTTTCGCGAAACGGGTTATTACCTCCGATGGAAACTCCTCCCAGAGCAGACTTTTCTCCGTTCAGAGCAGCGAAAATGTTTCAACTTCCTGCCAATGCATTTTCGCATCTAAAATTTAGATTATATTATGAAATTAAATTTAAATATTATAATCGATCTGTGGCTGTGTGTTCGAAAGGGTTTCTCTGTATTTTTGATGCATTTTCTTTTCTCTGTGGGCCATTTGCATAGCCTCAGTGGGGAGTGGAAGACGAACTCTTTTAACGAGCTGCTTTGGTTGCTCTGAAAATGTTTATTAAGTCCCTGATCAGATCAGCCATGGATGGGACAGAGCAACAGAGCAACGAACACGAACGAGGGAGAAATAGTAAAAGGCGGCGACCCCGAGACAGAGGCAACGGGCTGATGAAATCGCAAGATATCGCTCAAAGACTGACTCTACAATTAGGTGGCACATTGGACTCGTTTCCCCCACCGTTTCCCCTTAACAACAGTTTCAACAGATTCCACTGAAATCTACGTAGCTAATCGCTTTGACCTGGAGGACTTGGAGTACCTACGAGTATCGGGCAAGCATTTTATTATGGATATGAATTGATATATGTATGGTTAGATTCCGCCCAAATCCAACAGACAAATCACAGAGTGAACCACAGTTCTGCCATGACTAACAAGAGATCCGAGCGATATAGCGATGTGGCATCTTATCAGCTAACTTCCGATTCGCCGCCGAATATTCCGTAGAGAGTATGACAAATGCTTTCGAAAACTTTCAGCAGCGAGTGGGCCTTGACAACAGCCGCTGGCCTGGCCGATCCGAACCGAACCGAAGCGATCTGTCGCTGCCACAGTGAGTCACAGCGGTGCGAGAAAGAACTTCCAGAGCAGAGCAGAGCAAAGCAGGCGGCCTGACTAAATTAGATCAGTGCCAGCAGCGTGGTAGCCAAGATCTGGCTGATGAAATAACCCCCAGAACCGGGAAAAGCCCCCGGACAGCCCCGAACGGGCGCAGCAGCTGTGCAAATATATTGGAGTGCAGTCGAGGGGCGGTAAATCCAGGTGAGGAGGAGCGTATGGCTCGGGCCTGGTACAAAGTTGTTCGCGTGACGAACCTCTGGTTTGCCCACTGACTAAACTACTGCCACGAGAGAGCGGGGCGGGGGGCCTAAGGTCATCCGTATCAATGGGTGAATGCGAATGCGAATGTGGAACTGTTGCCAGGCAGGACGGAACGTGTGACGCTACGTGACTGTTGCCAGCGCGTCTGTTGCGCTCGCACAGTGGCACTGGCACTGACAGCGGTGCCCCACATATACTTTAGATATATATATACCATAGATATATGTACATATGTCATTGGCTTGGCGTTTATTGTTATATTTTCATTTAAATATGGTACCGTTGAGTGTTTGTTCGTGTTGTGCAATTATTCATCTACTCCTCCGCCCCACTGTGCACAGTGTGGAGACATCGATTTCGCCTTGGGCCGCCACTAATGCCAAACGGAGCTGCTAGCCAGTCCGTCTCCCACTTTTAATCGCTGACGGTGACTAACAGTACTTGCTGGCCATTCGCTCTCTCCCCCGCTACCCCTCTCTCTCTCTCTCTGAGCAATTATCTGCTGAAACCTTCAGCGTTTGCTGCTCGCGTGCTGCTGCTGCTGTTGTTGCTGTTGTTGCTGCTGTTGTTGCTGCTGTTGCTGTTGCTGTTGCTGCTGCTGTTGTTGCTGCTGTTGTTGCTGCTGTTGCTGTTGTTGCTGCTGTTGCTGCTGCTGTTGTTGCTGCTGTTACTGTTGCTGTTGCTGCTGCTGTTGTTGCTGCTGCTGCTATTGCTGCTGCTGTTGCTGTTGTTGCTGCTGTTGCTGTTGCTGTTGTTGCTGCTGTTACTGTTGCTGGCAGCTTTAAACGTGTATTCGACCGACAATCGAGAAACCGGTCGATGACTAATCGTCCATCGGGCGATATCATTAAAAGTGCTACGATCTGACTTGCAATTGCACGGAACAGAACGGAACAGAGCGGAGTGGAGCGGAGCTGAGTAGATCGCTGCTGCGATCTAATCGCATTTAATATGCTCACTCGAGCACAAGTCGAACCGGGGATGCTCTGCTCTGCTCTGCCCAGCAGCTAATTGGGTATCCAATTCAAGCAGATTAACATTCGGGTGAATGCTATCCGAATGCATAATTAATGACATTCTCCAGCATTAGTATTCTCCAATGGAGATTTACTGGTGCATGGTACATGGGCTAATCCCGTGCACAGACTTCGCCCCAATCACTACGTCTATCAATGCATCCCGTCCGTCCCGTCCGTACGTCTCTCTGTCCGTTCCAACCACAGCGGGCACGAAAATCACACGCTGCCGTCAGCTTGTCTGGCGCGATTTTTGCTTGGCTTTTGTCGCTGTCGTTTTCGCTGTCGTTGCTTTTGCTGTTCCTCGTGTTGTTTCGCCTGTTGGCTACTGGCTGTTGGCCGTGTAATTGCACGGCAAAAAGGTGGCACAAAAGCCGTTTGCTGTTTGCCGTTTGCCATTTCCCTTTGCACCCTTCCACGCCCGTTGCGGACGGCACTAGAGGTGGTCATACACGAATATGGCAGCTTGCCGCTTCAGATCTGATATAGCTAAAGCTACAGCCAAAAGCTGCCAATTGATCGTGGGAAAATGCTTGGAAATCCATGATTATCTGTTTCCAGCAGCGATTGATTTTATCGACTTATAGGCAGAAGTGATATCTGGCTAGATTTTCGCACTACCAAGTCGCGTGCATCGTGAGCCCATCTCTGGCATGCCCCTTGGGGGTGCTGCTCTTGGCAGTACGACTGCAGTGCCTTGTGCTCCCCCTGTGCTCCCCCTCTCCCTGGAGGGGAGGGGCTTACGTAAGCGCAAAGGCGGCAAAATGAAATGAAATTGTTGTAATGGGCGATTTTCATTGCGGCATTACACGCTACCAGCCAACAACAACAACGCTTATAAGCCCGCTCATACATACGCATGCGGTATGTACATATACATATGTACATATGTATATACATATGTATGTAGATCCACCGTCACACAGATGTATGTACATACATGTGTATCCACAATTACCATTTGGGCCCGATGCCACCGCTGTCCCCAACTCTCGCCATCTCACAGAGAGCTAGAGAGAGAGAGAGAGAGAGAGAGAGAGAGAGAGGAGAGAGTGTGTGTTGTATGTTTGTTCTATAATTACAGCCTATTTGCGCTCTATTCTCGGTACACATGAAATTTTAATGGCCTGCTCGGGACTGGACTGGGACTGTGACTGGGGTCTGAGGGGACTGGGGACTGGGGGGACTGTGGGGACTGGGGCAGTAAGAGTGGGACAGGTCCGAAATGCCCTGAACTTCCAGGTAAATGATCCATCAACTGGGCTCCAACTCCGTGTGGGGTCTGGCCCGGTGCCACGCTGTCTGTCTGTACGGGTCTCACTGTATGGCTCTCGGCATTAGTCATTCACGCAAGTCCCAGCAATTAGACATCATCCCACCCATAAAAGCATCGATGTGCACAGAAAAACAAACAAACACACTGCAGTTGCATGCCTCAATGAATGATGCACGAATGCATGAAGGGTTGAACTATCAGGGAAGTTGACGCTGCAAATTGTTGCTTGGATCGTGGCCACCAATCCAATTGCAATCCAAAGGGAAAGCCGATCGTTGCTGCCCATTAAAAAGCTCAAAATATGCGGCAAAAGCCAATGAACGGATCCCTGCCAAGTGAATTGAATTTACGATTCTGCATTTCGCGATTTCGGTGCAGCTTCCTTCCGATTGGCAGTGCAGCGACTGTGGTACGGTTCTACAGTGCCACCACAGCCCATGCCATACGAGTGAGTACACGCGCGAAGAGGTCGCCACAGCCACAGCCACAGCCAGAAGAGAAGAAGATCAAAAGATATCGCTACAATCAGGCCCGGGGTCTCACAAACCAAAACACAGTAAAAGATTTTATTTTTACTCTCTGCCTCCCCCCACCCGTGCACTCTGCCCAGCGGTGTATTGGGCGCGACCTAAATTTTGTGCATTTAATAATTGACCTGGGGAGCTTCCACAGTTCATTGGATGCACTTTTAAAACGAATTTCGTTCCATTATTAAATACTGTGGGAGAGTACTGTTCTGCTCTAGGGTATTCCACAGTCGAACCTTCACCGAATACTCAGACGTGTTGCCTACGTAGGTCGTCGATGTTTTTGTGGCGTTCACTCGAATGGTTTTTTGGGATCGCGGCACTGGGACAGGGACTGGGATGGGGATGGGGATGGGGACTGGGGATTCGGATTTGTATTGGCGTGCTGCCGATTTTGATGTTTGTTTATAATTTGCGTAGCGCTTCGATTTTATTATTTCTGTAGCTGCTTCCCTCTGAAAATAATCATTTTATTTTTGATCACTTTTCTTCGACTCTGGCCATAAATTATGAAGCACCATCCTCCATATGAAGCATGTGCATACCTCAACGAGTCGTTATGTGCATACATACATAGGGTACATAGTGCACATAGGGTACATATGGATGTTCCCAAAATAAGATCCCGGACAAGTGTCGGCTGTTGTCATGCGGAGGGGAGGAACCTGCTGTACGCATCTTCAGCTACAACTTTTGCATATCTCCGCACTCGAAAACTCTTGTGGCTGAGTTTTCTCCTTTACTTGTGGCAGGCTCGAGGGATCAAGGATATATGGCCAGATCGGCCAGTAACAGCCCGTGGTAACATTACAAATCGGATATACTAGTCCCCTCGGCTGAAGTAAGTTCGCAACTCGTAGCTCGATCGCAGTGAACATTGAGAATGCTGTACAGAATATAGAAATCATATTCAAACAGATCTCAAACACACACAAAAAAAACTCTCGAAAAAATTCAATTCCATTCGCCATGTGTGAGTCTTGTAAAAATTATAGTGATGAGAAATGTGTAAAGTTTTTTGCAATTTGGAACATGGTCTGGGGTGCCTTTTTCACCTTTGCTTGTGGTGGCGCCGTCTACGAAATGCATAGTCTGTACGCTTACGTTGTTTATTATTTTTAAAGTAACTTTTCTATATTTAATTTCAGCTGGTGAAAAGCAGACCATTGTCACCCAAATTTTCACATATTGTGGCGTAGTATGTGCGCCAATATACTTGCTGTCCGGCATATTGATTTATTTTGGCGATAAGCGGGCGAGTGATATAATCCAATTGTCCCTGCCATTAAGTATTGAACGTTTTCAGCCCGCAGGATAGTCAAGGTATGTTCAAGTTGGGCCTATATCTGAGCAATCCACTGCCAGTCGTGCTGTTCACCACCATATTTATGCCAAGTAATCAGGAGTGTAGTCGTCGCTAGTGATTCCTTGTCTCTGATGCTTCTTCTTTTGTTTCAGTTGTGCATTTCATTGCCCTGATGAGACTGTGCAAATATTACCGTGAGCGCTGGGAATGATGTTCTGCCATGCGTCACTTTTCCCACTTGTTCCTAACCAAAATTATCCGTCTCTAGCCCAACAGTAGCTTTTTTCCAATAATATCTTTGGGGCATCGTAGTGCCATAAATTTTGAAAGTACCCAATAGATAGTCCCCATACTTATTAAAATAAATTCTTTAGTCTATTTTCTCATATACACAAAGCTCTTTGCGATTACCTTCAATGTTGTCAGCCAGGAGAGCCAGTCCCCAACGATCGCTGTCGGTCAAATAATTTGAGGCTGTTTAGATGCAAGATTATGGCATGACGTTGGGTTTCTGGGTTCTGCACCATGGCGGAGCAATCTCATAGCTACCAGGTTGATGGTAGCTATTATCTGCTCCTCCTGCTGCCGATCGAGCTGCTCTCCGTGGGCTAGAAAGACAAAATGTCGATTTATATTGAATTTAGCTTTGGATCCATGGAATTATTTTATTTAAATTATATTTAAATTTTATGTACAAAGGTACATTTTGCCTGATCAACAAATATCAACCCTTGCCAGGGCATCAAAAGTGCATTTTTACATACATACATATGTACATACATTGTACATTGTATATATGTAACTCCTGACACCCCACTTAGGCTCCACTCCACTGCCGTTATGCCTGCGGCAATGTGTGGCACGGCACTTTCGTTATTTTCGGTCTTGTTGCAATTTAATTAAAAAATTGTTACAATTTGCCGTAAATTTCACATGAGCTTTGGCCAATTTCGCCTTTTGCATGCGCGCTGCTCGTGTCCGTATCTCAATCCCCCCCCATCTCTGGGTAACAGTATCTGTGTGTGTGTGTTCCTCTGTGTGTGTGTGTGTGTGGGTAATTTAATACGCACACGAAGGCGCACACGGGGCATGCAAATTGCTATGGGGCAGGTCGCAACAAGAGCGACTCTTTCTATCTCTATCGTTGATTGTGCTGGTGGGGAGGAGGAGGAGGAGATGATGTACTACATATATAGCAATGCGGTGAGGGAGGGGGTGAAACTTATAGAGAGTATCGGTCGTTGCGCCGACACACACACACACACACACACACAATATTTCGCATAGGAAAGGAAAACTGTAAAAATCAATGTGCAGATGCAGATACGACAGCAGCAGCAAGAGCAGCAGCAGCAGCAGCAGCGTGCCACATGCTGCCAACCAACCCCAGCCCCAACCCCTTGCCAACGGACCCCCCCACCATCATCAACGCTGACGCAGTCAGCAGCAGCAGAGGCAGCGTCAGCGCTGCAAAATATATCTATTTATTGTTTGTCGTAAACAATTTCGACTTTTTTTTTGTTACACTGTTTGCATGTACATATCCACGTACATATGTACATATTTATGTACATGCAGAGATACTCTGTTAATGTCTCTTGCTCGCTGTCACGATCAACATATGTTTTCTCTAGCCTCTAGCTTTGACTCGTCGCTCACTGGCACTCTTGTGTGTAATTTGTTGACTTGTGGATCCACTCAAGAGCGGCCACCGAAGATCTCTTAGCTCTGCCAAACACTGAGAGAGAGAGAGAGGAGGGGATTGACTTCTCTTGAGCGTCTTTTTTTTCTTGTAAGAGAACCTTCAGCAACAACCAACCCTCTCTTTATGTGTAGAAAAACTCTCAAGTTGCTCTTCCGGGCTCTCAAAATACAGCTGTGATCATTTATTAAATCAGAGAGGGAGGCGCTTCTGAATACTCTCTTAATATCAATCGAGTGACAGAGAGAGAGAGAGAGGTTCGCTCAGCTGGTTTGTTCTGCTTGGAACTCTGCCAGCTGATTTGCTCTGCCTCTCGTTTTTAGTGGCGACTGCGACTGCGGCAGCGAAACGTGAACGTGACTTGGCTTTGCTTTGCTTTTTTTTTGCTGTTTCTTTTGTTTTTCCTCCTTCCTCCCCGCTTTTATGTCTTCTTTTGCTCTTTGCTTTTCTACGGCGAGCTGCCTCCTTCTTTGTTCGTCGATCGCCAGCTTCCTCCACCCCACCACCACCGCAGAAAAAACTAAAAGCAGTGCAATTTTTGTTGTTGTTCAGTTTCTTTGTTGTTGGCAGAGGCCGAGGTAGTGGAAGCGGCAGCGGCAGCGGCAGGGCAGCGGCAGAGGATCACTGCTTTGCTTTTCTATAGATGCACACACACACACACTCTCCGTGCTCTCCACACACAGACTCATAGGCCCGTTTGCTGTTGCTGTTGGATTGCTTTTTGGTTTTGTTTATCGTGGATTTCCTCATTTTACGCTTATTTGTTTTGAAATAAAATTAAACGACGCATAACAAATCGAAGAGGGGCAGCGCGGCGGCCGAGCTGCCAGCGGCAGCGACTGCACTAGAGACGATTTCTTTTGATGAATATCAGCCATATCTTCTATGAATACTTATGTACTATATGTATGTATGTACATTGCACATGCTATTATTGGTATGAAGATATGTACATTTATATGTTATGAAAATACAAGAATTCAAACGAAATTTCCGTACAAGTCTCAGGGTAACATGACGATATAATATTCCGATAAATAATAAAGATACAATAGCCTCAATTTTTTTCGAAGGCATTCATATACATACATATCATACAAATGATATGGTAATCTAGCAGTTTCCTGGGCAAAAATGCCTTCCTTTGATGCCATTACTAAATTACCATATATTATTTCTGTTAAGTTCAAATTTGGTTGAACTATAAAAGACCAAAATGTAATAGTGTCGTTTCCATTACAATATTTTCATGGCTCTGATTTTGATGCATTCCCAAAATTGAGTAAAAAGAAATCTTCAATTAACTGAAATACATATATCATGTTCAGGGGGGTCTCTTGGTGTCATTATTTATTGGTCTATTTATTTTACTTATTTATTTACTGGTCCAATTGGATGTTCATAGTGAAATAACTAGCCTGGTATATCCCGGGAAATGTGTCTAAATCAACTCCCAATTTGTCAGCTTCCCTTAATATCAGTTATTTTTACGAATGGGGCCTCTATTTTTGTCTTGTTTATTATTTAAGTGATGTCAAAAGCACTCGCGAGTGCACCAATCCATGCTGAATTGTTTTCTGTTCGTGTCACTCGTATCGAATGACGTTTGTTCGCATTATCGGAAACAAACAAGAAGCGAATCCACGTAGGTTTTGTAATTTGCGTCATTCGAAGAGTGTGCCAGAAAAAGAAAACAAATCTAAATCTGGCACACTCGTACCCAGAGAAGACCTGTAGGAGAAATTCGAGGAAATCTTAAGGCTCCACAGAGGCCTCAAACCGAATCCCTGGGAGATGGCACATACATTTATTGATGGGCACTCACGGCGTATGCGCAATATGCGCCGTTTTACCCTCTAACGGCTCCATTTGTTTGGCTTAATTGCCGATAAATAATTGCAGAGCCGTGAGGACAGAAGGCCAGAAGGAAAGACAAAAGCAAACAAACACCGAAGGGAAATTCGCATTCGCACATCATTTTTCAGACTTCAGCGACAGCTGCGAAAACAGGGAGGAGCAAGCATTAGCAGCAGCGGAAGGGAGAAGGGGCCTGGATTTGAAGGTGATGGCAGAAACCTTTTAGCCTTTCGGGGTCTGCGTCATCGGCTGGGCGGGGAGGGGGGGGGGGGGGGCATACGTCAACCCCTTGGAGTCGTCGTCGCTATTCGGGAGTTGGGCGAACTATGGGCTGGGCTGTGCTGGCACTTATCCCTTCTCTGCTGCTCCCGTGGCCGATCAACCGCAAGTTACAAATGTCAAACGCTGTGTTTGTCAAAAGACCTTTCAATGTGCGTCTTTGTACAGCCTGTTCTGACGGTGCCAGTGGCAGTGCCAGTGGCAGTGAGCTGTGGGCTGTGGCATCAACATCAGCATAACCATCAACCCTCCTCGGTGGGCAAGTTCCAGTAGAAGGTGCCGCCATGACGCAACAGTTCTATTATTCCGGTTGAAAACCATCAAAAATACGAGTTCGAGTACGAATACGAGTATCTACGCATTTCGAATTTTGAGGCCCTTCTTCTGACATTGACTGACGTTTATGACGCACACAAAAGCTGCACGTTCACAGATACAGATGTGAGGATGGGATGTGAGGATGGGATGGGATGTACGTGTACCTACTGGGATTCGCACATGCCAAAAAAGGGCTTTCCACAACACATTCATAATCATCAGCATCATCCTCCGTTTGCGGCCAGCTGCAGCCACCAGCCATGCAGATGCCCGCCTTCTGGACAGGGCTGCTGGACAGGGCCGCTGGACCCCTAGCCATTAGCTGTGTCAGTCGCATCATTTGCTTTTGGTCAACGAAGGGGTTGGATCTACGCCTTTCTCACTCTCTCTCCCTTTGTCTGAATTGTGGTGCTACTCGAGTTTCCTGGCTGCCAGCTTAACCCCTAATGGCCCGAAATCTATTGCCGGAATCTGTCATTTAGCCCTGGACTCCAAATCGAAATAAAGACCTTTGCCATACATTTCTGCTGAGTGCCTTGAGTGCCACACCTTCGCTAGCTTCCTCTTTTTATTGCTCAACTATAGCTTAGTGGCCGTCTGCATCCTTGAGGATATCGAGAGAGCGCAGCTCCTTGAGCACCTCATAGACGGGCTCGAATTTGTTAAAGGTATAGAACTGAATGCCATACACACCCAGGTCGGCGTCGAGGATGTCGCGAATGATCCGAATGCTCAGCTGAACGAAGAACTGGGTGACGCGCTGTGGGTGGGACTTGAGTTGGAGCAGCTCCGCCCGCTGATCGGGCGGCAGGTGCACCCCTGCGATATTCTCCGACATGCGGTAGGTGCGGAAGCAGTCGGCCACCGTCTGACCCACCACAATGGGCACTGTTATGCCGGCGCTGCGGCAGTCCCTGATGAACTGGATAATCGTCGCGGAACGGTAGCACATCTGAGTGATGATGCAGTCGGCTCCGGCGGCGATCTTCTTCTTTAGAAACTTCATGGCCTGCACGGGATCCTGACGCTCGGGCAGGCTGGTGTATCCCTCGGGGTAGCCGGCCACGCAAATGGAGATGTTCTCTGTTGAGGGATAACAATGAGTTGATTGATAATAATTCGGTTGAAGTTCAGAGGGTGGGGCAACTGACCGCCTCGCTGCCGTCGCAGGTAATCGACCACCTGCCAGCTGTACTGAAAGTTCTGGGTCTCGTGAACGGCATCGCCGCGTATGGGCAGGACATTGGTGAAGTTGAGCGCGAGGAACTGATCCAGGCGCTCCTGGGACAGGCAGTACGCGGATATGTGCGGCATGACCGGAATGCGTGACTCCAGGCTGCGGGCCAGCTGCAGGCTCTTCACCTGATCGATGGGATTCACGTGGCAGTAGGCCAGGCCCAGCCAGACAATGCTCACGAAGGTGGGCAGCACCGGCAGGAAGCTGTTGAAGTCCAGGCAGGTGGGCTTGCCACCCTGCAAGGCCACCACCTCGATGCCGTAGAAGAACTGCCGCCTCGCCGTTAACTCCGTCACCAGCGCCCCCACCCGCTGCTCCGCCAGATCAGTTCCGTTCTGGCCGCTGGTGTACCGCACGCAGGGCACGTACGATGTGGGCTCCAGCCCACTGCTGCTGGACGTCTCTATGGCATGCATTTCTCTGAGGCTTTCGCAGTTGCTGCTCACCCGTTGGCAGATCGCTCCAAACTGGCGCTGCTGGCAGCTGGGCAGAGCTGTCTGTGGCCTCCACTTGGCGTGTGTTTTAATGAGTTTGCTGTTCGCAAAGGTTATCGCTGCTCTACGATCATCTGATCTCTGCGGCAATCCACAATTGCGGCGACAAATGGCTGCTCTACAAATTAAAAGCGAGAGACTGTGGAGAAGGCACAAATATAGACAAAAAAAAAAAAGCGAAGCTACTGCGGTTCAGTGGGTCACAGCGCAATAATCTCCGCTATGCCCCGCTAAATGATTCGTAATATTCTAATTCTAATCTTTCTGGGTGTCTGGCAGTCGCGCCTACAGATCTGTGAATATTTTCAGCTAAACTCTTGACTGGGAGGCGCGTGGGAACCTGTTCTCGGGGGGGCAGCCACCAAGCAACCCTTTCCCGTTGACACTAAATCCACTAAAGGCTCGTCCAATTACAGATACAGATTTGCTGCAGCTGCAACTGCAACTGCAACTGCAGCACCCCCCTGCAATAGAGACCTTGAAATGTATCCAGAAGGAGTAGGAGTCGGAGGAGAAGGCATTAAAATTAGTTCGGGTTCCGTAAAATGTGGCATGTGCATGGCGGATTGGTTTGGGCTCAGGGAGTGCCGCTCCTCCGCTCCGCTCCGCTCCGCGCCGATGCATGGCCATGGAACCTGTTTGGCTTCGTTAGAAGGCCATTCTAAATTTAAAACCCAGCGACGCAGCAGGCATCGAAATCCGCTGCTAGGGGCAGATCTACGCGTATGGATCTATAATAGGACACAAATAAACATGACAACAGAAATGTGTTCAACGAATATCAACGAGTAGGTGTACACACACACACACACACACACATGGATACATACATATGCATGGAATGGGCAACTAATAATAATTAATCGAAATAATGATTATTATACATAGAAAAGGGAGAATCATGTGGAAAATACGAATATAATGATGGAAATGGTGGAACTGCGCAGCGGCCTATTCTGTGCACCGAATAAAGGAAATCCAAGGCTGCACAAATGAGATGAACAGAGAGCCCTTGAGCTCCTTGAATGGATCGGCTATAAAGGATTAAGTGCCCCGCAGACAGGGTTCGATCAGCAGAGACTTTCACCATTAAAGAAAAAACCCTTAAGGCTGCCTCTCAATATATTCTCTCAGATTGAAAAACTTTTGAAAATTAGCTTGCCCAATGGATTCTGAAAGGAAGCACCGCTCTGGGTCACCTGCTGCGAGATTGAGCAGGCACAGCCACACGGCGGGGCGGGGGAACCGGTGTTGCATCGGCTGGGGGTGGGGCTGGGGCAGCATAGTATTTGCGTGCCAATGTTTTGGGATGAAAAGCGCTGAGGAATTAAATTACGACGTGGCAGTGTTGCCCCACAGCACAGCAAATGGAAATGGAAGAAAATCTTTGATGAAAAGCTGATGAAAGTCTAACCAGAGTACAGGGGGGGGGAGGGCATGCGGCACACGCATGGAGGATACTTTGCCTGAGCTGCTTCTGGCTGCTCCTTTGCCGCAAAAGATACTTTGCTTGGGCTGAAATTAAAAAATTCCAGCGAGCGGAGAGCTGGGAAATTATAATGCGGTGGCAGTGGGCACAGCGGAAGAATGTAATAAAGACATGAGTTGTGAAATTATTAAGATGATTATGGTAACAGAAGAAGCCCAGCTGGCAGGCAGCTCCCCGAGACAGTTTTATAATCAGTCTGAGGAGGAGGAGCGTAGCCCCACAGCCTCACAGTCCCACAGCCCCACAGCCCCACAGGTAAGTCGCTTATATGTAAGTCCCCAGTTACGAGAGACGTGGGCGGAGCCGCCTGGCTGGCCTGGCTGCAGCTGGAAACTGCTTTGGTAGTAATTCAAACATTTCCGGGCTGGCAAGGAAACTCTGCCAGGCTCTGCGTGCCGCAGTTGGGATTTAAATTGGCATCCAAACGGATTACTCCAGGACTGGGGGAGCTATGCCAGAAGCAAGAGACTCAATCAATGCCACTGGCAGAGTGTACATCAAACGTACATCAGTAACGACTTCTTACATCAAAAGAAAGGATGTGATTGTGCGCTTCCGATTTTAATGCCACAGAAACTTCACTCTCTGCTTACCTTTCGCTTAATTCACGGATATGTAAGTACGTATGCTTACGTAGCTTACGTTAGTACGAATACGTATTGGCGGATGCATGGAATTTTCCATAGAATTTGCTGCTCTCTCTCCCTCCCCCTCCCCCTCCCCCTGTGTGGCGGCATCGGGGGTTGAAACACTGTCGTTTCGGGGGATGCATCCGATGGGCCCACCACCAACCCAGTTGCCAGTTGCCAGTTGCCAGATGCCGGGGCGAAATTACTTTATTTTATTCGTTTTCTGGCTTTACCTTTCGCCTTCTATGCGTATGCATAGGTCGAAATTTATCGCTTGTTGCTAAGCGAATCGAGAGGCGAGCAGAGCAGTGGAGAGGAGAGGAGAGGACTGACGCAGGACACACAGCACAGCCACTGACGCACACTCCTGCTGACTGACACTCATAACTGGGTGAGTGGGCTGGCCTGACGCAGCAGCAGCAGCAGCTTTCCCACTGACTCACTGACTGACTGATGGCTGCCACCCAGGATACAGCACACAGGCAACAGACTACAGGCTGCAGGATCCAGAACGCAGTACCCAGTACGGAGTGCCCAGAATCCAGGGGTTGTTCGCGGCCTGCAGGAATCGCATCATTATAATAGCTGAAATCTGGTTAGGGCGATGAGTGGAAGGACGAGTGCCGGCTGCCGCCTGCCTGCCTGCCTGCCTGGGTGGCGATTCAACCCCCGACGGTACAGGGCAGGCCACTCGGCGGCATTCGCCATGCGGATCTGCATCGAAGGACAGCGCTGACGATGGGAGGCTGTGTGGACTGGGCCCCAGGGCCACCTTTCGATTTCCAGTGTGTGTATTTCGGTTGCAAATCTTTTTGAAATTGCGTCATCGCCGTGTCCCTGCCACACGGCGAACGTGGCTGGCACGCAGCTCGCTCGCTCTCGAACATCCTTTGGCCGGGGCCTGGCTGCATGGGGCAATCTCGGATGAGTTACTGACATAATTAGGACTTAACTGGAAGTCACGCGCTGCGCATTCGTAATCCGAGTCTTTGCCACACAGTCCCCCCCCCCCCTGCCTGGTTGCGCAGCGTTTCAAGGTCACAGTGCCTCAGTCCCTCAGCTGTCGACTGTCGACGGTCGGCGCGATTCGATTTCATCTCATTTGGAATCCCACTCATCCTGGAGCGCTCTCATCATTGGCGGAGAGCTTACAGCTGGTCCCTGCCGCATGCGGCTGGACTTCAGTTCACTTCATTTGCAGCGCCTGCGAACCTGAACTCCCAAATGACTATCCATTCTGCGGTATTGAATTGTAATAAGCAGCAAGGCGAGCAGCGAGCGGGGTAGAGGGAGAGGGTTGTGGGGCTGTGGGGTTGGCTAGTGCTTCTCGTTTAAGAAACTCATTTGCTCGGATCACCCGTATATCAACTGGAGTCCCACGGATCGCTGTATCCATCAACTGGAATTCGCCCCAAGGGCAGATTGCATTTTCCATTCTTTATAGGGTTAAGGAAACTCTGGTATCCCCCATGTTAATGCTGTTTAGAGGCCATTTTAAGTGTCCATTTATGTCTGGTAATTAAAGCTCTGACTTGATGGTTTAACTGCCGGAATACTCCTGCTGCGTATCAACGGCCCGTAATCAATGGAAATAATATTAATATTAATATAGATCATTGTAATGTGCCATTTGCCTGATCACATAACATTTAACATTAAAATCACATTTGCTTTTGGCATTAATAGAGCAGCCCAGCGGCCCATCATGGCCCGTTCGTTATGGGCCCCCAGGATATCAGTTTCGATGGGGTGGGGGAGCCCATTCGCGACTCCGTAGCGCACCGCAAAAGCAATCCCATAATTTCCGTACACCGCAAATAAAAACGTAATTACTTAAATAACGAAAACAACATTTTGGGTGATTACATATTTCACATTTACACACTGGGTCTGGGGGCCGTGGGCCGTGGGTCGTGGGACGTGGGCCGTAGGCCGTGGACGGGGAATATTTATTTTCACATTTTCCAAGTTTTTCCCGCCTCGTTCTCGTTGTGTAAGTCATGGCAAAAAGGCAGTTGGGGGGGAGGCTTTGGGTGCTTGCAGTCCAGGGAGTAGCCTTGAAAAAAAGAACAAGGCGGCACCACACACAATAGGAAAAGCAAGTCAGCACACAAACACACACACACACACACAGACAATCTCATTCACCAACACACAAAAATAAACAAGTGAGGAACACATAGTAGCCCATGGAACGACAAAAGGATACCCATTAAATAAATAAATAAATAAATTACTACCCATCTAGAGGCAGATATTGGCAGCTGCTTGGGTTGGGAATTTTCCTTTCTATTAATGATTTCTGGCATAAAGGGTTGAACCCTTTGCGTTCATCATACCCATAGACTCTACGCATATACCCTGTATAAATATATGTAATTTAATTATGGGCCTGGCAACGTCAGCGTCGGACGTCGACGACGACGACGACGCGTGCGGCGGGTGGCAAATAGCCAGGAAAGAAGGCAAGGAAAAGTGATGAAAAAAAAGGAGTAAAAGGAGGAAAAGGAGGCAAAAGGAGGCAGTAGGCGTAGAGAGTATGGAAAATGTACGCATATCCTGCTGCTTAAAAGTCCTGCCCTGCCCGCGCTGCTGTCCCCCCCATTCACTGTTTTTCCCACTCTTTCTGTCCCCTTTGTTGTCCTGTTTTGTACCGTTTTCCCCCACCATCTCTCTCTCTCTCTCTCTCAGCCTCTACGCCTACATTCATGGCCTGCCTGCCTGCCTGCTGCTGCTGCTGCGTTATTTTGACTCAAGCTGTGCACATTTTCGGTTTGATTATCGAACACAATATTTTTTTTTTCCGGCTCTCGCTTTTCGTCCTTTGTTGCTGCCCTGCCCTGCTCCTTGTCGGCCATAATTGACGATTGCGCCATGAGTCGCCACAATTTCTGTCCGCCTCCGCCACAGCCCTGCTCACATTCACATCCACATCCACATCCTCCTTCCCTCCTCGTGCTCAGCGCACATCCTCGCGAGCGGGCAGCAGCGCGCTGGCTT